TCGAAAATGAAAAAAACGAAAGAAAACACACATTCATGGGCAATACATCCCCACTAAAAAAAATCGACCGAAAAAATTACCTACACCACCACTTAAAAACAGACTTCCTACATTCAAGATACTCAACAACATTTCGAGTTTCAGCTAAACAACGAATAAAGGAAAGTTGAATTGTCACTGATATACATGATTACGAGGCAACAACCTTACATTCATGATGCTCCACAACGTTGCTAGAATCAAATATACAACCAAGGCAGAAAAGGCAAATTGCCACTGAAAAAACAGATTGCTTTAGGAAACAAATTCATACACAATATACAGTATACATATATACTGCAGTCAATGTATTTACAAAAGTACCACAAAGTTCTTACCCTAATTTTATGGGCCTGGAAAAAAAAAAGAGAAAAAAAAAACACACACAGAAGATAGGAAGAAGAAGAAGAAACTGAGCAGTTGAAGTATGGCTTCAACGTCAACCTCTTTTGTAACAACTTCTATGCCAACACCTCCTACTTTCACAGGAGAGAATTACGATTATTGGTACATGAAAATGAAGTTTTTTTCTAAAAGCAAGTGCTTTGTGGGAGATAGTGGAAATTGGTTTTGTACAAAAACAAGGAGTGTAGTACACAGAAGAACAATTAAAGAAGATAAGTGATGATGAGATGAAGGATGCTAGAGTCTTATCTCAAATCATCAATTGTGTTTCTGACACAATCTTCCCCAAGATCATGAGAGCCTCATCAACAAAAGAAGCTTAGAGTCTTCTTAAGGAGGAGTTTCATGGCGATGAAAAAATCAGAAATAGTTGACTCAATACTTTGAGGAGTCAATATGATAATATGAAGATGAAGGAGAATGACGATATAAAAGGTTACACTTCTAGAATCATGGAAGTTGTAAACAAAATGAAGATTTATGGAGAAGAGATCTCAGGTGCAAAAATAGTGCAATAGATCTTAAGATCTTTGGACATAAGGTTCAACACAATGTCCACAATAATTGTCGAATCTAAGGACGTCAAAAACTCAGTGTGACGGAGTTAATGGGTTCGTTGCTTGGCCAAGAGCATAAATTTGCAAAGGATGACTTAGGGAAATTCCCACCCTCGGAGAATGCTTTTCTGCAAAGTCTCATAAAAACTTTCCATTCAACAAAGGCAATAACCGGAAGAATTAGGGGGCCCCTTGATCTGATAGAAAACACAAGGAGCAACCACATTCAAAAGGGAAATTCCCTCCATGTGGTATATGCAATAAGACAAATCATCTTGAAAAAGATTGCTATCATAAGGGGAAACCAAAGTGCAACCATTGCAAAAAACTAGGCCATTTGGAGAAGGATTGTTGGCACAAATAGAAGCAACAACCATTAAATACATATGCTCATGCTTCCAGTGAATTACAAGACTATTTGTTTTATGCACGTCAAGCGATGAGCGCCTGTAGCAGCAAGGAAAGATGGTTGATTGACAGTGGGTGCACATCTCACATGACAAACAATTCAAGCTTATTTTGCAAGCTTGACTCTTCTATTAAAGTTCTAGTTCGTATGGGGAATGGTGTTGTTGTACAGTCCACTTGAATAGGCACAATTGGTGTTTAAACAAAGAAAGGTATGAAGTACATCAATGATGTCCTCCTTATTCCAGATTTGAGTGGGAGTTTGCTTAGTGTTGCTCAGATGGTCAACAATGGTTATTCACTTGTCTTTGAGAATAACCATTGCACTATCATTGACTTGAATAAGAAAGAGATTGTAAAAGTCCCGATGAAAAACAAAAATTTTCTATTGAAGTGGGATGATCGAGTAGAGAACGTGAATGCAGCAAACACAAGCGATACATGGCTATGGCGTAGGAGGTATGGACACTTTAATATGCGTGCTCTCAATAAACACACAAAAAAAATCTAGTGAGAGATTTTCATGCAATTTGTGTATCTAATGATCTTTGTGAGTCTTGTCAATTTGGCAAGCAACATAAGGTTGCCTTTCCCGAAGGATAATATGTGGAGAGCATCAGAAAAATTGCAGCTCGTTCACACCGATGTTTGTGGACCTCAGCGAATTTTATCTCTTGGTGAAAACAAGTATTTCATCCTTTTTATCGATGATTTCACCTGCATGACGTGGGTGTATTTCATGAAAGAAAAGTCTGAAGTTTTCAGTGTTTTCAAAAAATTTAAAGCACTGGCAGAAGCTCAAAGTGGTTGTTAACTACAAAAAATCAGATTAGAACGAGGCAAGGAATACACTTCCTCTGAATTTGATATTTTCTGTGAAGATGAAGGAATTGAACATCAGCTTAGAGTGGGTTATACACCTCAGAAGAATGGAGTTTCTGAACAGAAAAATAGAACCGTGATGGAAATGGCTCGTTGTATGTTAAGTGAGAAAAATCTGCCAAAAATATTCTAGATAAAAGCAGTTCACACATCTGTATATTTGTTGAACAGGCTGCTCACGAAAGCGGTTCAAGGCAAAACTCCTATTGAAGCATGGAGTTGGAGAAAGCCAATAACAAAAAACTTGAGAGTATTTGGATCAGTTTGCTATGCTCATATTCCATCCCAAAAGAGAAGCAAACTAGGTGCAAAATCCGGAAAAGGAATCTTCCTTGGCTATGATTCACAAGCCAAAGGATATCGACTTTTCAATTTTAGCAATAAAAAGATCATGATCAGTCGAGATGTTAAATTCAATGAAGATAGATAAGTGGCATTTATGCCACTATTTGGGATTCATTTCCTTACCATTTCCCTCCATTTATCGCTTGTTTAGCCCTATTTTGCCGTGCTTCCCCATATATTGCACAACAATGCCATTCCCCTCGTACTTCCCCTTTACTTTACCTTTTTGTACTGTTTTTGGGTGTTAACCTGTGTTTTGCAGGTAAACCGATCGATACGTGAAGTAGAGGAAAGTTTGGGATAGTTTCGAGTGCCGGTTTCATGAGCAAATCAAGTGAGGAGCATCTGATCAGGCTGCGCGCCCAGGAGAGCCCTCTCTCCCACTCTGCGCGGGCGTGAAATTCAAGAGAAAGGGCGCACAACTTGGCTTGAAAAATCAGGAAAACTTTCTGTAGATGGCAATCGCGCCCTCTACAGGGCGCGCACAATACCCTGCGCGGGCACGCACATCCGTCAGGCCAGCCCGTTTTATTTCCTATTTAAATGCTGATTTGGGGAATGAAGAAGGCAACTATTCCATTTAGGGCAAAGTGCTTAGAACATTTCTAGAGAGAGAATAGCCTCCATTAATGCTTGTATAAGTTTCTAGCTCAGATTATTAGTTTTTTATCATCTAAACTTTAGTCTTTAATCTAGATTAGTGCTTTATTTATCCTTGTAATCAATATTGGAGCATTCTATTGGATTTTTGGTGGTTCACCATTGAAGGTTCAAAGACCCATTTTCTTATTTCAATACAAAGTTGAAGCTTTGTGAGCTCTTTCTATCTTAATCTCTTTTATTTTGGGTTATTTACATATTTCAAGTATTATTGATAGTTATGTTTATGATTTTGATTATGGCTAATATTTTGGGTATTGTTGATATGGGTAGTTTCTCTCTCCTAGGCTAGACTTTAGCTAGAGGAAGGGGAATGGATGACTTGGTTGTTATTTGATTAAATACTTGATTTTTGGGGATTTAAACCCTTGTTGTATGAACCTGTGCTTATTGTTATATGGTTGATGTTGTGCACCATTGGCCATATTATTACATGTCCTAATTGATGCGCGGGAGTGATCATGTTAGGATAGATCGTAGTTTATACATTGCTTAATCAATTGCATGGGAATGAGTTGTGCTAAGTAAGATCTTTGATCCCTTGGTTGTAAATCCTTGATTATCTATGTGTTTAGCTCTTAATCTCCAAGTTTGATGTTCCCCAATCCCCCTAGCATTTTTAATCTCATAGTTTCTAATCCTTGTTAGTCTTTGTTAATTGTTAGAGTAATTTTGTTAGCGTTAGTTGTTTGTTGCCTGGTTTTACTCCACTCTTATTCATATACACCCTTTTCAAGCCTCTTTCGTTAGCACTTAGCTTCACAATTTCTCGTTTCTCCGTGGATTCGATCCTTGCTTGCCTTTATACTCGTTTAGGTAAACTAGGATTAATTTGATAGGAAAAGTGTATTAACGACGACATTCTATTCCTCATCAAATTTTGGCGCCGTTTCCGGGGAAACGGTCTAATTTGTGTTGCTTTAGAGTCTTATTTTCTTTTAATTTGAGTCATTTGATTTTGAATTTCAGTGCTAATCGTGTGTTTAGCTTTGTCGAATGCAAAAGAGATCACAGGGACCACCTACATATCCACTTGATCACGAACTCGAACGCACCTTGAGACAAGTTAGAAGACTTTTTAACGAAGATAACAGAGGGTTTGGTTCGATACTTGATTGTGATAGTGATTCTTCTCCCTTTGCTAGTGAAGCTACTACCGATATGGCGGAGCATGAGCAAGAGAATGACCTTTCTTTATTTCGAGAATTTGGGAATCCGAAGGGATATGAGCTCACCGGAGGCATCTTGTTGCCTATTACCGAGATAAACTTCACCATCCATCCCCAATACACAAGGATGGTGCAATCTGAGCAATTTTCCGGATCCCCAAGTGAGGACCCAATAGAGCATCTTGATCGATTCCTTGAACTATGTGCTATGATACAAACAAATCAAGTGAGCCAAGATTATATACGAATGTATCTTTTCCAACAATCCCTTACGGGAAGGGCAAATAAGTGGCTCAAATATGTCAAGCCCAATTCTCTCACTATATGGAAGGAGGTTGTGAAGGCCTTCTTGAAGAGATTCATCTCCAAAGAGAAAACTGCCGAGATGAGAAGGAAGATAGCCTCCTTTGAGCAAGATTCGGATGAAACGTTGGGAGAAGCTTGGGAGAGATTTAAGGAATTAGTTTAAGCATGCCCACACCATGAATACAACCAAAGTTTGCTTATGAGATTCTTCTACGATGGTCTAGAGCCGATGTCTAGAGCCAACCTAGATGCGGGAGCCGGAGGGCAATTGATTAAAATCCCTCAAAATCAAGTTGAAGCCACAATAGAAGAAGTTGCAAAGAATTACTCATGGGGAGGCCGAAGGAAGCCTCAAGCAAAAAAGGGAGGAAGATATGAATTGGAAAAAGTTGATCAACTCCAACATCAAATCGAGCTTTTGAACAAGGGGTTGCAAAAACTAAATGCGGGTGGAAATGGCGGTTCAAGCTCCTCCCAAGTCAATGCCTTCTCATGTGAAATTTGCGGTGGAACAAACCATGATACCTCTTATTGTGGGGGTTTGAGTCCCGAACACATTAATGCTTACAATACTAGACAAGATGGTTATAGGGGGAACAATAGTGGATTAGCTTGGAGGCAACCACCACCGGGCTTCAATAATCAACTTCAACAACATGTTGAGCCTCCCTTCAATCCACAACCACCAAACCCACCACAAAACCAAAACCGAAAAGGATACTACCAAAGACCTTACCAAAACCAATCCAACTACCAAAATCAAACCCAATACCCATAAAAGCATCAAGAGCAAACACAATCACAACCCGACTCAACACAAACCCAAATTCTCCAACAACTCCAAGCCATGAACCAACACACCCAAGAGCTTAAGGCTCACAACAAGATATATAGTTGATTCTCAATTAGCTCAAGTGGCTGAAAATTCATCCTTAAACTCTTCTTCTAAACTACTTGGACAATAAAAAACAAACCCATCTCACATCCTTAAACAACCCGACACATGCAAGGCGATCACCTTGAGATCGGGTGCTTCTTATGAAGGCCCAAAAGGGAGTGAGGAGGTAGAGAAAGAAGGGGAAGATAAGAAGGGAGATGAGGAGGTAAATGTTGAGAAAGAAGTTGGAGACAAGAAGTCCAAGGGTAAGGACCCCATTGACACTAGAAAGTGTGAGAATCCGGTACCTTATCCCGGGAGGGTTGCGGAGCGAAAATTGAATGACAAATTTGCAAAATTTCTTGATGTGATGAAAGGTTTACACATCAACCTACCTTTCCTTGAAGTGGTGACGCAAATGCCATCTTATGAGAAGTTCCTCAAAGATATCCTATCGAACAAAAGGAAGCTCAAAGATGAATTTATTACGCTTCTACATCAAGTTAGTGCGCTTGTTCAACATAAGATGCCAAAGAAGCAAAGAGACCCCGGAAGTTTCACATTGCCGGTCAAGATTGGCAACTTGGAAGCCAAATGAGCTCTAGCCTACCTTGGGGCTAGTGTTATTCTAATCCCATTGTCCATTGCTCAACAATTGAATATCGAGATGATACCCACAAGAAAGACCATTCAACTAGCCGACCAATCGGTTAAGTTGCCTTGCGGAGAAATTGAAGATGTCCCCATTCAAGTGGGACACATTTATGTACCTTGTGATTTTGTTGTGATGGATATGGAGGAGGATGAGAACACTCCTTTGATTCTTGGAAGGGAGACATTGAAGACATTGGGGGCCGTCATTAATTGCAAAAACAATACCATTACTTGTGAAGTAGCCGATGAAAAGATTGTTTTTGAATTCTCTAAACTACTCAAGACCCCCATGGTTGAGAAGTGTTATAGGGTTGATGTGGTGAGTGAGGAGTTAGATCTTTTGGGATGGGTTATGATGAGTCCTCAAGATCCAATGGTTGAAGCTCTTACATGCGAGGAAGAGTACTACTCTCAAGAAGCAAAGGAGTTTTTCATGACCATTGAAGAAGCCAAGAGAGAGGAAGAGAAGGATCCTAAGCATGATGAGCTAGCTCTAGAAGAGGAGAAATTGGAGGAGAGTTCTAAGCCTCCTCCCAAGGTAGAACTAAAACCCCTTCCCCCTTCTTTAAAATATGCTTATCTTGAAAATGAAGGGGAATACCCTGTTATTGTCAATGCTACCCTTGATGGGCTTGATTTGGAAAAATTGCTTGTTGTTTTGAGAAAATATAGAAATGTGATAGGGTATAGCATTGATGATATTAAGGGTATTAGCCCTTCGTTGTGCATGCATCGAATCCATCTTGAGAATGATGATGCCACCTCCATTGAGCCTCAAAGAAGGTTGAATCCCAACCTTAAAGAGGTAGTAAAAAAGGATATTTTGAAACTACGTGAAGCGGGGATTATCTATGCTATCTCCGATAGCAAATGGGTAAGCCCGGTTCACGTAGTTCCTAAGAAAGGTGGCATGACCATAATCAAGAATGAGAAGGGAGAGGACATCTCCACCCGAATTGTGACCGGGTGGAGAATGTGCATCGATTATAGGAAGTTGAATAAAAATACAAAGAAAGATCACTTCCCTCTCCCTTTCATCGATCAAATGTTGGAAAGGTTATCAAAGCATGCCTTCTATTGCTTCTTAGATGGATACTCGGGATTTTTCCAAATCCCAATCCACCCTAAGGATCAAGAGAAGACCACTTTCAATTGTCCGTATGGGACATTCGCATACCAAAGGATGCCCTTCGGACTATGTAATGCCCCATCGACTTTCCGACGATGCATGACCTCCATTTTTTCTGAAATGTTGGAGAATGAAATGGAAGTATTCATGGATAATTTCAGTGTGGGTGGATCCTCTTTTGACATGTGCTTATTTAGCCTTGAAAAAGTCTTGAAGCGATGTCAAGAGACGAGCCTTGTTTTAAATTGGGAAAAATGCCATTTTATAGTTGAGGAGGGGATTGTCCTCGGCCATAAGGTGTCAAAAAATGGGATTGAAGTTGATCCGGCTAAAGTGTCGGCAATAACCAAGCTACCCTTGCCTACTTCCATTACGGGAGTAAGGGCTTTCTTGGGGCACGCGAGTTTTTACCGGAGGTTTTTATCAAAGATTTCTCTACTATATCTAAACCTTTAACTGGATTACTTCAAATGGATAAAGATTTTTGTTTTGATGAGAGTTGCATTTGAGCCTTCAATAAGCTCAAGGAAGCTCTCACATCTACTCCTGTAGTGCAAGCTCCAGATTGGAGCTTGCCATTTGAACTAAGTGTGATGCTAGTGACTTTGCAGTAGGAGCCGCATTAGGTCAAAGAGCAGGAGGCAAGCTGCATGTTATTTCCTATGCTAGTAGAACTTTGGATGATGCTCAAAAGAATTATACTACCACGGAGAAGGAAATGCTTGCAGTTGTGTTTGCTGTGGACAAGTTTCGGTCCTATCTTGTTTGCTCCAAGGTGATAGTGTACATAGACCACGCTGCGGTTCGGTACTTAATGAACAAGAAGGATGCAAAGCCCAGGCTAATACGATGGGTCCTCCTTCTACAAGATTTTGATATCGAAATGAGGGATAAGAAGGGGTCCGAGAACCATGTTGCCGATCACTTGTCTAGATTACCACATAATAATGTTGAAAGTGTTCCGATAAATGAGGAGATGGGTGTTGAGACCCTTATGGCTATCGCTTATTCTCCTAGCCCGTGATTTGCGGATTTCGCAAATTACTTAGCTAGTGGAATTATCCCATACCAATACTCATCTCAGCAAAAGAAGAGATTTTTCAAGGAAGTAAGGCGTTATTTTTGGGATGACCCATTATTATTCAAACAATGTGGGGATGGTATATTCCGGAGGTATGTCCCGGACCATGAAATTGAGAGCGTGCTCGAACATTGCCATTCACTACCGTGTGGAGGACATGGTGGTGTAACTAAAACTGTGGCTAAAATCTCTCAATCTCTACTCTGGTGGCCTACCATGCATTGTGATGCCCAATGATACATATCTAGGTGTGATAGTTGCCAAAGGGCGGGAGGCATCACGAAACGGGATGAAATGCCTCAATTAGGTATCCTTGAAGTTGAACCATTTGATGTTTGGGGGGTTGACTTCATGGGTCCCTTCGTGTCCTCATGCGGAAATGCTTATATATTGGTTGCGGTTGACTACGTGACCAAGTGGATAGAGGCTATACCATCGCCTACCAACGACCACAAAGTAGTCCTCAAGCTTCTAAGGAAGATCATCTTTCCAAGATTTGGGGTGCCCCGGACTCTAATTAGTGATGGTGGATCGCACTTTGCGAAGAAGCAACTTGAGGCCTTCCTCAAGAAATATGGTGTCCACCATAAAGTAGGGCTCCCCTATCATCCCCAAACTCAAGGCCAAGTTGAGGTATCAAACCGAGAGATCAAGAACTTACTTGAGAGGATGGTGAATCGGACTAGAAAGGATTGGTCCCTCAAACTTGATGATACTTTATGGGCCCTTAGAACGGCCTACAAAACCCCTATAGGAACAACCCCATACCGGTTGGTTTATGGCAAGGCTTGCCATCTCCCGGTAGAGTTGGAACATAAGGCTTGGTGGGCCATCAAGGAGCTTAATATGGACCTTGGGGAAGCTAGAAAGAAAAGGTTGATGAAATTGAATGAATTAGAGGAGCTTCGTTTCGATGCGTATGAGAATTCAAGGCTTTATAAGGAGAAATAAAAAAAGTGGCACGATCAAAGGATAAAGTTTAAAGAATTCAAGGTTGGAGATGAAGTTCTACTTTTCAACTCTAGACTTCGTCTTTTCCCTGGAAAACTGAAATCCAAGTGGTCCGGTCCTTTCAAGATTTCTAATGTTACTCTTTATGGGTCCTTTGAGTTAGATGCGGGCAATCATAAGTTTTGGGTTAACGGACACCGCATCAAACTCTATCTCTCAAGGAACGAAGTTGGTCGTATTGAGTGCCTTAGGCTTCATCCCATGGATTACGAGCCTTCCCTTGTAGAGCTTTAATGAATCGGAGCAATGGTCAAGCTAATGACCTCAAAAAGAAGCGCTTCTCGGGAGGCAACCCGGGCCCTTCTCCCTTTTATCCTTTGAGCTTTTGATTTTTCGTAGTTAGATTTTATGATTGGATCTAATCCCTAGTTGTTTTTATTGTAGGTCAAGTAGGCCTAAGGAAGGAGCACAATGAAGAGGATTAACGACATGCACGCGCGTTTGATGATCTCGGGATAAGAGCTTTCGAAGCTAATTCCGTAATATAGGAGTATTGTCGTTTTAAACTTGAACTTTTATATGTTTTTAATGGGGTTTGTAATATTGATAAACAATTTAGTTTGATGTGTTAGGAATTTTTAGTAGAGTTAGAGAACATTTTGAGATTGATTGTAGGAGGAAAAATATTTTGTAGATGCCTTGAGAGGGCTCTACAGGGCGCGCAAGTGTTAAGGCCAACTGAAGAATGTTTCTGTAGATGGCATGAGAGCACTCTACAGGGCGCGCATGAGGTTTGCGCGGGCGCGTAGAGTCCCTAGCGCGGGCGCGCACAATTTCTGAAAAAAGGGCCAATGTTTCTATAGATGGAATTCGCGCCCGTGAGAGGGCTCTCTCACAGGTCTACGCGGGCGCGCACGTTACCAGTCCAGAAAAAAACGGCAGGTATGCTTTCTTTCACCCCCATTTTCACTCTCAATCTCTCACTTCTCTCTCTCTCTCCTAAACCCTAACCTCCATTACTAACCTCCCTAATACCTCACAACCTCTACCTTTCCTCCCCAAATCTCCCTCAAAATTCATCAAACACTCACCAAAATCTCATTTTACACAATTTTGCTCATAAAAAACCCTTGATTATCACCCAAGAGATTTCAAGAAAACCCAAAAACCCCAATCTCCCATTGCATGAACCTAGCCTCCTCGGTGAAGTTTTTGTTCGAATTTTCGTCTTCAAGAAGGTATATCTAACTTGCTAAGCCTAATTTTCATTACATTTTGATAGAACTCATGATAGGCTTCTTGAATTTGTGATGTTTTTGGGGGAAATTTTAGACTCAATTGAAATGCATGTGGGTATTTTTCCAATTCTTATGATTATATTGACATGTATATGAGTATTCTTGCAAATCTGTAATTCTAATGAAATACTTGTGGATAATTTGCAATTTTTGGGATTTTCTTGAAATAGTTAGGGGATTGTGAATTGTTGGATATAAATATTTGTGCTTCTATGATTTGTAAATTTTTGGCCATGGATTTCATGATGTGTGTGGGTAGTTTGTGAATTTTGGGATTTGTTTGGGTACTATGTAAATTTCATGAGCCCCTTGCCTATTGACTAACTTTGTTACGTTGTTGTATTTGTTGTGCTAATTGTTGTTTTGTAGGATTTCACTTGATAGTGCAATTGAATTTTGGGTTGGTATAATTTCGGTGATTTGGTGTGGAATTCTTTGTGGTATAAGTTTATGAGAAGTGTTTGGGGCGAAGATGTTGACATTTGGTAGAAAACAATCAAGGAGCGGGAAGGAACCACAATCTTCCCAATCCCAACAAAATCAACAACCTCTACCCCCTCTTACCTTCCAAAATAAAAACCACGAAGCCAATTACAAAAAAATGAGAGAGAGGAAGCTTAAACCCTCCAAACACTATCACCGTCCTGCCACCACAAGCTTAGGTGTTGACGAAGACATTTGGGTGCTCTTTGAAAACCTCAATTTGGGTACCTTTGTGAACTCGGATTTCAACACCTACCTTGATCCAACTCTTGAATTCTTTTCCACTTTCTCCTGTGAAGCTGTGGGGGATGATGACTTTAGAGTCACCTTCCAGCTTTTCAACAAAACTCATACACTATCCTTGAGAGAACTCAACATTGCCCTGGACTTTAATCCAGATGCCAACCTTGTCGCTCCCGAGAACTCCTCCTTCTAAGGTTATAATGATACACATTGGTGGAGAGTGATCACGGGGAAAGAAGAATTCAACGACCGTTACTCCTTAGCCAGTGAGATAGTTCACCCGACCCTAAGAATCCTGCACAGTATACTTGGATACGCTATTTTCAACAAGCAGGATTTAGGGAAGATGTCTAGAGAGGAAATTCTCACTCTGTGGTTCGCTACTCAGCCTGCCTTAGGTCGAAGAGTGAACCTGGGCTACTTCTTCATCAAAAATTGCTTATCAATCGCTAAAGGAAAGAAGACCGGCGAAATTGCCTGTGGGAGTATGGTAACAAGGTTAGCCCTAAAGCTTGGGTATGGAGACCTCCTCCCCTCTTGCACTATGGTTGGGAATAGCGGTGACATCCTTCTCAATCTCGATCAATTTAAAAGGTTGGGATTCATTGCCTTCACTCCAAGAGAGGGAATCTATGATTGGTTGGTGTCTCATGCACACCGTTGCTTTCTCCCAAACCCAGCACTTACCTCCTTCCAAAGGGAGTCTAGAAACATCTACTGGGTTAGGAGGGACAATGGTGTCCTTCCTGGAGCCGATCGAGGAGTGATAAGTGGCATTTACGCCACTATTTAGATCCTCTAATCGCAGTATTTTTCTACGTTTGTCCCTTGTTTGTACCCCTTTTGCTTCGTTTCTCTCTTTATTATGTTTTTGTGCTTTTCCTCGTGTTTTGTAGGCTTTTGGAGTTGATTTTGAGAGAATGAAGAGCTTGGAGAATTGGAGTTCATTTGAAGAGCTACAAAGGAAGTTAAGGAGCAAGCAAGCAAGGCCATGCGGACAGCGCGGGTCGCGCTTTCAGAATGGCGCGAGCGCGCCAAACCCAGCGCGGGCATGCCTAACATTGGGGTCGAAAATATTGGAGGCAGAATGTAGGTGCGATTTGGGCGCGGCTTAGGCGCGGGCGCTCCTAAGATAGGCGCGGGCGCTCAAGGGCCTGAACTCCAAAATTAACCTTTGTTCACTATTTTAGCCATAACTTATGATCTACAAATTGTATTGGGGTGATTCAAGTTGCATTGGAAACTAGACTTAAAGATCTTTCCAACGGTAGGTCGCACGCCCCCAGAAGCCTCCTAGAACAGAAGTTATGGCCGTTTGAAAATTAATGTCGCTGCCAGGCCAATCCCAGTGCGCGGGCGCGCAGGCCTCTATCGCGGGCGCGCACGAGCAGCTACGGGTCTTTTAAATGCTTCTTCCTCTCCTCTTTTTGGCCAAGTTTTTATGGTGGGTTTCTTTGGGGTTTTCTCTCTCCTCTTTGAGGGGTTAAACCCTAACATCTCTCCATCAATCTTCACATAGATTAGGCTTAGATTTAGATTTAATCTTTGTTTTTATACTTTGTAATGTAGATTAAGAGTAATTTAGAGTATTTTAGAGAGAGAAAGTGAAGAGCTTCAATGGTAGATTGAAGAAGATGAAGATGCAAAGTGACATTGTTTTGGATTCCTTTTCAATACTTCAATGAGCATTCTAAACTCTATCTCATTTATTGTTCTTTCTTAATTTCTTGCTTGATTAGAGTAGTTGTTTAGTTTAATTGCTTCTCTTTGTTCTTCTTGTTGGGTTTTGTGTTAGTTGTTCATGATTAGTGAGTAATTCCCTTTACTAAGGGATTGGTGATAGCATGTGGTGAATCTTGAATGTATTAGGCTAGACAAATGTTGGTTATATGTGATTAAATATACCTTGTAACCATGTTTTACTAATTACTCCATGTGAATGGCCAATCATGTGTTGTAATTGGGTTG